TTTTAAACCAAAAAAAAAACAAAAAAACAAAAAAAAAATGGAGCGTAAATTATTGTATATTTGTAATGTGTTTTGTGGTGAGAGAAGAATTGTCCCTCCTATTTCCCTCTCACCCCCTCCGAGAAAGACTTTAGAGAAAGAAACAAAACAAATTAAAATACGTACGCGCGTATCCGCGTTTGTAAAATGTTATAACAAATAATACACATACATACACATACACATACATTCACATGATATGGTACAAAGCGGATAAAAAGATTAACAAAAAGAAAAAAAAAAAATTTGAAAAAAAATGAAGAAAAAAGAAATTGAAAATGAACAAAAAAAAAATATATATATATATATATATAGTATATATATAAATATAAGCAAAGAAGTGTAATTAGGTGACGTTTATCGAGATATTTGATGAGAGAGGAAAATTATGAATTTTTATTATTGAAAATCGATGCTTTGTTTATCCTTTTATTGTTTTCCGCATGAACCATTCCAACCCCCCGTTTCGTTTGGTGTCGTTTTCTTCCCCCGGCCCCCCCACCCCCATTTATCACGCGACTTTGTTGTAAACGTATTATCCCACAATGAAAGAATGATGAATAAGATGAGTGAGTAAATGAATGAGTGAATCAGTGGGTGTGTGATGTTTGTTTACTTATGTGTGTGCATGTATGTATGTATGTGAGAAAGAAAGAGAAAGAAATAGTATTACTAGGAGATAGAGAGTTAGAATAGTGAACGCTGCTGGTTGCCTTGAAGGGAAGGCCAACTGATGACCTTGGGACATTGAAAAAGAGTATGAGAGGATAGAAAGTCGTTCGTGTGATTAAATGAATAATAAAAGGAATCACGTACGTTTTATCGACTATTTCATATATATATATATATATGATGATGATACGAGAAAGTGAAAGAGGGAATTTATAAAAAAAAAGAAAAAGGTTAATGAACTGAATGAAATCAAAAGAACAACCAAAAGAAAAAAATCATGTTAAAAAAAAGATATAACGTGTATATATATATATATATGCATAAAAATAATTAAAATAGTAAGATTGAAGAAAAAAAATATCACATTGATAAATAAATGCATAATGAAATGTAATAGAAATATTTGAAATATAACAAAGAAAGATAACAAGAGAAAGTGTGAGTATTATTAACAATAAAAAAATGATTCATTGAAATTATTCAGAATTAGATATATACTAATTAGAAACATAATAAGGTAAAAATAACAAAAGAACAATTAAAACTGTGACGCAGAGACACGAGCCTCCGAGCTGTCTAAGAATATCTGTCCTTACGGTATTTCTTTTGACTTCTTTTTTTGGGTCCAAAATGGCGTGTATTCTGGTACACGACCTACCTTAAAACGAGAACTATATATATCTTTCTTTCTTTCTTTCTTTTTTTCTTTCTTTCTCTTTCTTGTATTTAATCTATTCGTGTGAACTCCTAGAGAAGAAGAAGAAGAAGAAGAAGAAGAAGAAGAAGAAGAAGAAGAAGAAGAAGAAGAGAATGAAATAAAAAAAACAAACACATGTTACATCTAATAAGAAATGTGATATATTTATATATATATATATATTTTGCCGCGCGAGTTTTCAGAATTCTGTGTTATGTGTCTGCTGTTATCATCGTGATTTGTCGTTAGTGTTCGTAGATAATCGGGTTTTGCGAAATCGAACGACGAATCCGATCGACGAATCTCGGAACGCGAGTTGGGGCGAATGGGCCCGAACAATCACGACAAGGGGGTGGGTGATCGCGGTGAAGGTAGGGTAGGGGTACAGGGCAACAGAGTAGCAGCAGAATCGTACGATAGAGAGAGAGAGAGAGAGAGAGAGAGTGAGAGTAAGTGTGTGTCACACCGTAAAGAGAGTAACGTCGTCCATGTTAAAACCACTTCTCGGTAGTTGCGAGAAAGACACACACGGTGGTGTTTTAATATCGTTCTCTTCGTGTGTCTCTCTCTCTCTTTTCTTTTTTTCTTTTTTTTTTTTATCTTTTATAATTTCCTTCATTTATATATCAACTTTTTATTCCGACATATTCGCGCGCGTATTTTTCTTTTTGTTTTTGTTTTTGTTTTTTTTTAAACGAGGGGGGTTCGCGCGCATGCACACGTGCACGCACCTGCGCACATCTTTTCTTTTCTCCTTTCTTCTTCTTTCTTTCTTTCTTTCTTTACTTTATTTTTTCTCTCTCTCTCTCTTTTACTATTTTATTATTTTTAGAAATATTACAAATATATTGATCGTATGTAACAATATTTTACATCAATCTTCTTTCTCTCATCGATTATAATAGTTAATCATTTGATTTATTTATTTTGAAATAATTTCTTTATTTAATTTATATCGAATTTTTATAATAGAAAAAGAAAGAAAAACAGAGAGAGAGAGAGAGAGAAAGATATAAAAGGATAGTTTTGAGTGAAAAACAAAACAAAACAAAACAAAACAAAACAAAACAAAATAAAATAAAATAATAAAAAAAAGGGCTTTATTTTTCACCTGCATGAGCCTTAATGATACGCGAGGCGCCACCACAACTACGCGGGAGCTTTAACGGTAAGTTGGCAAACACAAAAGAAGATAGCTTTGTTATAACTTATTCATCCTTTTCATGGATTAATTTAACACGTTGAAATATATATATATATCCCGTCAAGCCACAAGTGTTACTTTGTATTGAAAAAAAAAAAAAAAAAAAATAGTTGATTGTGTCAGACCAGCAGTGACTGACATGGCCCAAATTGAAAGTCTAACGTCAGTCACCGATGACTGACGTGACGCTAAAACGTGTTAAATTAACAAAATTCATTCAATTCAAATTATCTACAATGATAGATTATTTTTGATCTCGATAATATGCTATTGGTTGGAAAAGGGTTTGTCGAAAATACCAGCCACGTGTAACTATTGCGCGCGCGTTAATTAACACCACCACCACCACCACCATTTCCACCACCACCATCAACACTATAATAGTACCTATATAATATAAAATAGAAACTATATAGAAACACGGGATCGTGCATCGAACTCAGATGATAATAATAGAACGGACAAAAATATATATGCTAGGTCGATGAGATGCACACTAAACTGTTGGTATTTATATATATATATATGTGTATGTGCATATACTCGTTCACATATGGATGCATTTTTCAACCATTTCGTATAACTTGTTGTTTCCCTTTTATGTTATCATTTAAAATTGGTCATATGATAAATCGAAATAATAACAAATAATATATTTTGTGTTGATAAACTACTAACAAGATCAACGTGTCAATTGAAACATCAACAATGTTATTATTAATAATTAAATTATATTTTCATCTTATTATGGGTTTTACTAAGTTACGTCACAGATATTAGTTGCACAGTCTCGAAATCGTGTTTGGAAACGAGTTAAGAATTTAATACTTGTGTGTATGTGGTATGGTTTTTACTGTCTCTTTCTTTCTTTCTTTCTTTCTCTATTTCTCTGTCTCTCTCTCTCTGTCTCTCTCTGTCTGTCTGTCTGTCTTTCTTTCTCTTTCATTTGGTTCTCTTAAGTTGAGAACGAGTTATCGGACACTCGCCTCTCCTTCCGAGTTTTCCCTTATCGTTTGGAATTCGAAAGTCGCTTCCAAAAGAGAAGGCCGAACTCAATCGAGTGAGAAATTAGTTAACTTTTTAAAATGTTTTTTTTTAAAGTGGGGGCGTTCAATGAAAGATTTTATACGTGTAAGAAAGATAAAAAGATAGATAGATAGATAGATAGATAGATAGATAGATAATTGAGTGATCGTTTTAACAGACAACATTTGTCGACTATTTTTCCTCGAACTTCGACCCCGTTGATACACAAATGAAACATTGATAAGGAACCTCTCGCCATTTTCAGAAATTCAACTTTATCATACTCTCGATTCTATTTTTTTGTTTGTTTTGTTTCTCTAACAACGATTGTTCTACATTTCGCAAGTACGTCAACAAGTATGATAAAGTAACATTTAATGTTCTTTGTGGTAAAATTACAAAAGGAGAAATTAAATAATATTTTAGAACAAAGGATTTCAAGTTTGAAACTTGAATAATATTTATTTGTTAAGGATTCGGTGTTTTTAATATTTAAAAAAATAAATTTATATTTATTTTATTTTTATTTTTATTATTATTATTATTATTATTATTATATAATTGAATTTTATATTATTTTTAATTATATAATTAAATTTATATTATTTTATTAATTTTTTTTTTTGTTATATTATTTTATATTATTATATAATAATTTGGAAAATCATAAAACATAAATGACGAAAACGCAATTTAATTAAAATATGAGGAAAAAAGAAAATACCAATCCATTTATATTCCTATCACTTGTGTATACAACATACCTATACATATATATATATATATATATATATATTTTTATGTATACCTTTTACCATTCCAAAAAATACTTTTCAATCATGTGTGTGTGTGTGTGTGTGTCTGGTTGGTAAGCAACATTTATTCATTGCAGATAATGTTTCAAGAGTTTCGATGTTTAAACTTTCACTGATACATTTATAAAACTACTTTGACAGATATCTAACACGGATAAAAGAATTTTTATCAATATAAAAAGATAATATACAATGAGAATTTTTCTTCTTCTTATTATTATTCTTCTTCTTCTTCTTCTTCTTGAGTGTATTATGACGATTGAAAATAAACCTTCGACATTTTTACTTACAAAACACTTATATTTTCCATCTCTCTCCAACATATGCAACACATTGATTACACACAACATACACGCACACTCTTTCACTATATCTCTCCCTCTCTCTCTCTCTCTCTTTCTCTCTTTCTCTCTTTCTGTATGTCTATTTTTCATCGAAAGAAAGTTCAAAAAAAAAAAAAAAAAAAGACATTCCCGACATAAGTGAAATTCGTATAAAATTTAATGACGTCATTAATATCATATGTTGTCATTCATTACAATTAAAT